TTTAAAAAATGGTATTTGATTATCATTCCACTACACTGTCTGAATCGAAAGAATTTTTTGATGTTTCTGTAACAACACTTTATATTCATAACAAAAACTATTATTAATATTAATAAATTAACTTTTTATATTTTCCGAGTTTTACAATTAATATTAAAAAAACAATTTTTATTTTTAAATTTCTCAATAATCATTAGAGAGGTATCGTATTAATATTAAAACAGGTGTATATGTTACCGTGATTGACCGAAGAGAATGTCGACTTTCATCGGTGAATGTCAACAATCGCATAGTCTCTTTAGTGAATGTCCGAAGTATTTGTTATATCCGATTTGATATTAATTTATTCGTTGATGTTATTATATTTATTCTATATTTTAATATCTGCTAAGAATAAATTAAGAGAAACATTAGTATAGGGCAGGGGTTTCCAACTTACATGAGGCCGGGGGCCTCAATTTAAAACACAAATCAAATGGCGAGCCGCAACTTTATCAAAATTTTATGTAAGACTCTTTTATGTTTGAAGGAACATTAAATATTACTGTCAAATTTTTACCAAATTGTACAAAACAAAAGTATATTTAATTGCATATTAAAAAATTCGGGCTACAATAGCTTTAATGTGCACCCAGGTATTGAGCAATTAATGTGCAACAGATATCTAATTGTTGAGATATAAAACTTTAAAAAGGTTGGTATTAAAACTTACATAGTAGCACACAAAATGTTCAATGACAAAATTGAGGTTTGTCTGCTGCAACCACCCGAGAATAGATATTTACATTGTAAATTTACAAATGTGTGTGTAAATATTTTCGTCCAAAATGAGTGGTTTCAAAAAGTTAAATCGGAGAATTTCTTCGAGAAAATTTCTGATACACACATGCTAAATTATATTCACAAAATACAAAAAAAATTACATAAAAAAGAGCAACATACACGATTATTTTTGTATTCGAATAAATATTTTCTTGGATGCAAAACCTGAGAAATAATTTTTTTGCACCGTTGGTATGATAAATTTCACAGAAACGAAGAAATTAGGTTTTAATTAACGAGAAAAGTATTTTAAACCCATATAGATTTTTTACGAAAATTGTCCGCAAAAAAATTAATACTAATATAATTTAGTTCGCGGGCCACAAAAAAAGACTTCACGGGCAAGATGCGGAGCCCGGGCAGCCAGTTGGAAACCACTGGTATAGGGTATGCCGGGCAGAGGCACTGAACCTTAAAGAGAAAAAAAAAAGCTTTAGTGTAGGGTATACCGGGCAAATGTAAACTGGGTAGTGGCAGTTAACTAGACCTAGTATATATTTTAGATATTTACCAAAGTGACTACATAATTGTCAACATTCACCGGTGGAAGTTAACAACTACCAAATTCGATCTTTCACAGTAACAAGCCATAACTGTGGTGTGATACCTATCCGAATTTGGAGTTGAAAAACCACAAAAATTGTGCACATGAATAATTGTTAATGAATAGTCAATGAATAAAAGTTAATAGTGAATCGATCCTTCATACATCCTTTTAAGAATGTAGTTAAATCTAAACACAAATTATTGGAAAAACTTACACCAAACACGTATGTATTTACTCTATTCATAAATAGTTTTCCTTAATTTTGACGTACATTCGGAAACAGAGAGATGATAGTAATTGTAGATTGTTTAAAACCGCGCTCAACAAAGTGGAAGCTTGTTGCTCCACGATGCTGAACCTTCCACGGAGACAAAAGTTAACTGCTATAAAAAGGTAGAATATGTTTGTTTTTTAGTTGTCAAATAAAATAAGTTTTAATAACAAGACTTATATACATCTGTCATTTGTATTAAATACTTCTAAAATGTTTATTTTCTATTATCTTCCGTTGTTAAAGCCGAGTTCGAATTCATCTTAAAAAACTCAGTACTGCGTATGTGTATGATTATCAAACTAATTTTATTTTAAGATTTAGTATAATACATATGTTATTGTGAATAATCGAAATTGGTTATTATTGACTTCCACCGGTGAATGATGACAATCACATAATCGATTTAGTAAATGCCCGAAATATATACTAGGTCTACCTAAGTGCCACTGTCCGGTATGCCCTACATCAATGTTTTTTTAAGGTTCAGTGCCACTGCCCGGTATACATTTAGCCGGTACTCCGAACACTGATGTTTCTCCTAACTTATCCTCAGCAGATATTAAATATCGAATAAATATAATAATATCAATAAATAAAATCAATATCAAATCGGATATACCAAATATTTCGGACATTCACCAAAGCGACTATGTGATTGTTGACATTCACCGGTGAAAGTCGACATTCTCTTGATTTCGGTCATTCACGGTAACATGCACACACAAATTAATAATTCTTATTTTATATTGTATCGTAAAAACTACTTAGTTGATTCTTAGGTAAATCACATCTTACAGCAATTATTAATTTTAGTTTTATTGATGGTCTACTTTACACTAAGTAGAACATTCTTGGTGGTTCACTACACCAAGAATCAAGAGTTATGTATGATGTTTCACTACACCAAGAATCAAGAGTTACGCATTATGTTTCACTACACCAAGAATCAAGAGTTACGTATGATGTTTCACTACACCAAGAATCAAGAGTTACATATGATGTTTCACTACACTTTGGTGTTAAGTAAATGTTTCTATTTTTGATGTTAAGATAGACTTAGTTTTTCTACAGTGTTCTTAGGTTTTATTATGCCACTATTCAAGTTTGAGTAGACAGTAGTAGATCGAATTTGTATTGCCGTTTTTCGTCAATGATTTTAATGTTTTTTTATTGCGTTTATGATACAGAAAGTACAAAACACACAGGAAGAAAATTAAAATTACAGTTTAACACAGGAAAAAATTAAAAATTTTACCAATTTTTATTTTTTTGTCATAATGTCTTTAGTTTCCTAAAAAGAATTTTTGTTCTGTATTGCTCTAAATACCAAGATTGCTAGAACAATAAAAAGAATTCTAGACAAACATTTATTATTTCTTCCCCCTATGTTCCAGGTGCAAAATCCCCTTATTCCCCCAAGTCTATCAAGAGGGGGAATATAAATAAACTTCCCCGCGATACTCAGCATTTATTCATAAAGTTATAGGGGTTCTCTTACTTTCCCCGCTCACACCATATGTCAATTGGTTTGCCGTAGATTCAAATCTTTTTCTCATTGAACCAGATTCAAATCTTCTTCTCGTTTCGAACTCTAAATTTCAACTTGAATAAAATTTCTTATGTAATATATAATAGTTAATCAGTCAAGCCTCATAAAATACTTTTTCACGTAATATAATTTAAAATATTTAAAAAAAATTAAATATCTTAAAAAAATATGATTAAGAAAACTAAAAAGGAGAAAAACAATGTTATTTTAGTTTATCCTGAAACGAAAAACGTAGTTCCCATCACTTTTGAAAGGCATGAAAGGGAATTTGTTATGGTGGTTGAAGTTAATTATACGAAACTGATGACCCCTGCTATTATTGTTTTAGGTCCAACAAAATGAAAAGTATTCTCTTCTATTTAATCTAATAGTTTTTAAAAAAATATTTTTTATTTCATTTTTTTCTATCCGATAGTTAATGACTGTTAGTTCGAGTGTAAAAATGGTTAAAGTTTTGATTTCTGATAAGATGGCAATAAAATTAGCATGCCCCACTTAGAAAAAAATTTTAATTTACATTGGCATCAAAAGCAGACCTCCAGTTTAAATTCGAACACACAAGAGTGACGAAAAGTGTTCCAAGTTCTAATTGATGATAAATTCCTTTTAGTGATACTATTGCAAAAAATGTTTTTTTACAGTAATCAAGAAATGATTGAAATTTCATTATCCATCACAAAGATGATGATGATGATTACTGTCGGCAATTTTTATCAGGCAGATATAAATAAAATGAAACTTCTTGACAATCCTGACTCACTAAGAGTTAACAACATAGTCAAGTTTTTTCTTTAAAAATGAAATAAAAAAGTGAAAACCGTGTTATGCATTACGTTGGTTTATTTTCCAATAAGGCTTAGAAGAACATTAATTTCTTTTAGGCTATAGATTAACCTTTCTGGGTTGTAATAAACGACTAATTAACAAGTTATCATTTTCGCCCACACTAGCTACAATAGCTTGCCTTCATTAGCGCTAGATATAAACAACCTTTTATAACAAAAATTATTATGGAAAAACTAAACAGCTTTGTAATTCTAGATGTAAACCAGAATGCAAGAAAAAAAAAAGTCTAAATTACAGTTCCAAAAAATTTTTCATGAATTTAAATTTTTGTTTAATGCAGTTTTTTTAAATATTTGTAAACATTTTGCACGGGGCTTTTCCCAACTAATTAAAAATACTAATTGAATAGCGATATAAAGGATTGTGAATTAGATACATTAAGGAAAATTTCAATAAAAGAAATCTATAAAACGTGGGAGGAAAATTAAATAAAATCTAAAAATTAATTGAAAGCAAGAGTTAAAATGCTGAATTATAGATAGCAACATATTAATAAAAATTCTAAGTAAAAGAAGGCAAATAATTAGATTAGATATTATTAAAAAAAATTTTAATTAATAAAAAATTATATTTTTAACCGTTTCAAATCAAAATTAATCAATTAAAAAAACGTAAAGTAAGATTAAAAATAGTCATATTTTGGTTTTTACTTAAATTTAAATATAGAGTTTAAGACATAATCCTTTTTATTTGATTTTTCTTTGCTATTGAATTTCAGATTTTTTTAAGTGCTTCCTGTCATATCTTTGACTAGATTTATTTCTTAAACACAATTAAGTATTGGAAAATCTAAAAATAAATGTCCAATAAATTTATTCTCCATCATTCAACAATTAACTGATAACTAAAAGTACTTCCTTACGTATTTCAGAAACTTTTTTACTCGTAAAATTAATAGCCAAATATGGAGAAAATGCGCCACACTTGGCGTGCTTTCCCCGGCGCAAACGTCTGGTCAAAAAAGAGAAAAAACTATTTTCCCGCATTCTCACAGACGCTCAGCGGTTCAGTTTGACATCAAATTTGTACTTCGTTGGTGTTTGGCTCTCGACTCTCAATTGGATAGCATTTAGCAGAACTTTTTACCTCAAAAAGTACCTATATTTTTTCACAGGTGAGAACAATTCTTTAACTTAGTTGCATTATTTTATTGCTTTATTAATTGATTTAGTTTGTTTAATAATAAAAAAAAGTTGAGTTTATCTCTTCATTGTTAGGAGGGTGTTTCCCAGCCGACGCCTCAAGGTTCGAAATTTACTTTACGTTCTGTCTTCTTTATTTTCTCGCTGTGTAATAATAGTCAAGTTTTAAATTTGTCATAAATTAAAAATACTACAGTAATATTAAATTGATCAATGCTCATGCCAATGTAGGTTTATTCAATTTTTAGGTTTTCATGTTTGATATTTTGTCTAATATAATAATAATCCATGTCTAATATTTTTGATAATCTTTTATTAATCGTTTTATGTGCTTATAGTAAAATTTAACATCTATTTAACAAAATTTAAAAGTTCAGGTTTGAGCGTTTTTATAATATTGTTTAAAACATTTTAATAAGGTGTTAGAAAATCTATATTCAAAACAATTTATAAACTATTAAATAATTATCAAAGCGGTGTATTTACATTTGTTCATGCAAACTTATTCATTGCAATTATTTCCAGTATCTTATGAAACAATTTAGAATATTTTTTGTCTTACAAATTTCTTATGTGTTTGTTTTTATTATAATATACATCAAGAATCATTTTGTAAGAACCGTACAGAAAAATATACAATTCTTTTGTGGTATAGGCTTTATGTATTTCCATTTTATTGCTTTCCTCGCCACTTCCTATTAGTTATTTATAAAAACAATTTAATGCACGAGTTTCCTATCTGATGGCAACAGCATTTATAAATGTTAATTTTATAAAAATGAAAAAGTTGTAAGTTTGAAAAAAAAATTTTAATTTGTTTTTCCAATTTTTCATAACATGTCATAACCTTGTCATATTTAATTTTTAATTGTAAGATCAGTTTTAAAAGCATAGATGCCTCTTAATTAGTCTATGATTATTGCCTTTTACATATTATGAGAACCTTAAAAGCTTATACATTCTGAAACCGTAAATTTTGACAGTAAAAAGTTTGTTTGAATGAAAAGAGTTACATTTATGAAAGGTTCTGAATACGTCAAAAGCTATAAGCCTTATTGCAATCGTATTTTGACTACATTGATCCTTTGCTTTATTTTATTTTGGTAGTATAATTAATATTATAATTTACACTCGTGGGGGGGGGGGGGCTGCGACCTCCAAAAATTTTTCACTATTCGGCAAATTTTTCTTTGCCATTCGGCATATTTATGAAAATTCTTTTTTTTTCTTTAAAAAACGAAATTCTGAAAAACGCGTCTTACTTTTTTTTTTTTTTTTTTTTAATTAATGAAATTGTTAAACTCTAGAATTGGGAAGCAGTAAATAGCTGAGGGCGTAGCCTTCAATACAATTATATAATGTAAAAAAAATCACAGCATAAGAATTGTGGTAGTAAATTTAAATGAAGCTGTAGGAAAAAAGAATGAGAAGATTGCTCTGAAGGAACTACGATAGAATTTTTGGGTGTTAGTGAGAGAGAGCGAGCAGGAAGCGATGTCCTCTTGTAAATAAAAAAGAATACATTAAGAACTTTGCGCCGATAGAAATTATATATGTGCCCATTAAAATGGTGTGAGGTACTTACAGAATCATTCCGATACTACGAAGAAATAGATAAAAATTAACTGCGAATTATCAGTAATAATTTTTAAATTAAATTATTTTTATCCTTTGCTTATAATCTGGTTTCAGTTTATTTATTGAATTATTATTGATTATTACGCATATTAATAGGAAAAATTGGCGCAAAGTAACATTTACTATATCCGTCTTTATCATTGTTCAATTTTTAAGTTCAAGAAATATATTTTAAATATGTTCAGCAAACTTTTTATTTGCAATCAGTTTTTTAAATAGTTTTCTTTTTTTTAAAACTTTTAATTGAAACTATATTTAAACTCTAAAGCGTGATTATTTAGTTTTATTCGGTATTCAACAAGATTTGCTGATTACTAAATTTCATTCGATGATGGGATAATGAAAAATCAAGTCTTCCTCTTAGCTGAAAATTCATTTCTCAAATGGTTCATTTTATTTATTGACTGGAATAATAGTAAAGCATTCTTGCCACAGCCCGTTGTGTGTCAGGGGGTTAATGGAGGGTGTAAAATAGTGTGAAAATATTAGCAAAAAATAATTTTTTCTTAAGTTTAAGGAATTATCTAATTATTAATGATTCGGTCAAAAATGTGAATTTCCCTCCTCTCAAAAATTTAAGTTCGTGGCGCCCCCTCCCCCCTCCTTATTCTGAGAAACAAGTTGATAATGTTAATCTAAAAATAACATTAAATTTTAAAATTAAATAAGATGTCAAAGGTCTGTAGTTTTTAGCTTAAAATATTTTTATTTTTTAAGAATTTTTATAGCATTCCTACTATTAATCTAGTTCCAATGCATTACAGTTTCAAATACATTACATTATTTCTCACATGTTCCGCTGAATGAATGAGATACTAGTCTGAAATTATTAAAATTGATTTATAACTAGCTGACGCTTATCAGTTAAATTGAAACGCTAAATTTGAGTATGAAGAAATCGGTAAACTGCGTTTAAAGAGTTAAAGTTTTGTTCTAGACTAATATCTACGTACAGATTTGACTGAATGTTAATAATCTTATGATCACTAATTAAAATAAAATGTGTATGGTTAGCCGGACAGCAAAGAATTCTAAAACATGATCAATCTACAACTGCGGGTAGTTCAGTTTGTTCGTAGCGCCACGGGGCTCACCGGTGACCGGCGAGGTCAAGATTATTAGAAACACATAATTCGAGTAAATTTTAATGCTTTTAATTTTTTATATTACTATCGTTACTAAAATGGTTTGAAGAAATTAATGCAATATAGACCACACAAAAATATTTTTATTTATATGCATATATAACATGTAACCTTAACACATTGAATGCTATTCCGGTGACCTCAGTGAATTAGATGCATCACGAATGATTACAAAAATTAACTGTTTTGTTGTAAATAATATTTCATCAAAATATGCAACGCATACTGAGAAAATCATTTTGGCCAGACGGGCTAGCCATGTAAAATTAGCGTGGCATTCAACGTGTTAAGCGAATTAACACCTACGATACATTTGAATCTTTCCGATTATTCAACTTTTTTTTTTATGGAGCTATTGTTTATAAGCTAATGGTGATAAATTAAAAACTCTGTTCCATCTTGCTAATAAATATTATAATAAGTATATTGTAATAAATATAATTTAATAAATATACTATAAACCGTTAATGTTTCTTTCGAAAAGTTTTAACTAATTATTAAATCATGTTTTTTTTCACAAAAACAGGGCCTTATTTTCAGGGCGTTCTCAAGCTACCCTAAGCAGAATTAATAATAACCTTATTTTGAGGTAGTTTTATAAAACTACCTCAAAATCAACAACTCTGAGTAGATTTTTCATATCACAAAAACAGGATCTTTCATAATAATTCTGGGCAGACCTTTGTTTTTTTTAAGAATTTTCTCGGAATCACAATAGATTAAAAAACTTCATCTTCGCAACCTCATGAAAAGATTTTTCACTATTTTACGAGATCAGAACTTTTCACAGAAGTCTGGAATGACTATTGAAACTTGTTTTCACTGTTTATTTTTCGCCTGAATGCCCTGTTCTTTGGTTAATAACACTTAATTGGGTTCTTGAATAGTTTGATGTCTCTGAAATGAATAATAAACTTAAATTTTTAAATTTAAATAACTTTTTTTTTACGTTCCAATGCATGACCACAGTTTAAATGCACATTCTTTTCACAAACAAGTTACGTTCTTGTTTTAAACTTGTCACCTCATCAATTTTAAACCGGTTGCTTAAATCTAAAGAATTTTCGAGTATGACATAAGTGCGAAGGTATGCCTTTGTTTACACTCTTCATCTCTGAGGAAATTAAATACACTTGTGCAATTGGGATGAACAACAACGCATGCAGCTGCGTTTCGTCATTTCCTTCAACAGAAACAGCCTTTGTAATTCCTGTTTATTGTTCGAAGTCAGAGCTTTCATTTTTCTTTCAAACTAAGTCATAAACATTGTTACACTGATTCAGGCGCTTTTTTTTTCATTTAATTTTTCTTAAACCAGCGGTTGACAACCTTTCGTTCTATGACAGTTCGCCAAAATAAGAATACACCCTAAATAACTTTTGTTCTAATAATTTTCTCAAAGTGTCAGCTTTTATGGTTCAAAGAGGTGACCTTAAATACGTTAGTGCTTTTATGAGTTGGCAGAAAAATTATGCAATTATTTATTTCTTTGATTGAATAAGCTAGGGATTGAACATTCATTTGATTTGGATTCTTGACCCTTAAAATCTGTAAAATAGGGAAAATCTGGTTTCTATTATTTTAGACAGGAGAGCGATCGAAAGTTTTGGACTCGTGTTAATTTGACTTTTTGCATATTTTGCTATTTGTAGAACTTAACTAGAAGTTAAATGAATTCATGAATCTGTGATTTAAAAAAATTATAATTGTATGCAAAAGTTTTTGCTTTGCTTAAAGATGGATCCATGAAAGATTGTTTTAGTTTGAATCTTTCATTCTGGATATATTATCAACTTCAGATTGTTTATAAATATGAATGTAAATTATCTTTCAATATATGTAATTCTGAAATTTGAATTCCAGTAAAAGGCTTTTTATTATTTTTGATATACTCTACCAAACTGAGGAAATATGTATCACACAGGACAAATGGTAAAAAGGCAATTAAAATTTTACTAATTCTCTGAATGAGAATAATTTTATCTATCCTATAGTCGCCAAAATAGCGGTTATTAGAATTTTTTTTTTGCTTGAAAATATGTTTTAACTAGATCAGATTTTAGACCTGTTACAAAGACTCAAAATATTTTTTACATAGATCATTTTTAAAGAATCTTCGAATCAAATGTTCATTTTTCTTAAGCAGGTGAACTTTTAGCAATGGTATAAATAATGGCTAGTAATAATGATTGTACGAGAAATTTATAATTTTAAAAGTATTAAGAAAACTTCGGTCCTAAATTTAATTTCTTTTTTTTAAGGAAGTCTTATTTGAAAAAAATTCTTTTTTAAAGGAAAAGGAAAGCAGGATTTTTGTCAT